TTTGTAATCCTCCCCTTTCCTCTGCAGGAGAGAGAGCAGGTGGGTTATAGCCTGGGCATTGCTACCGGGGCCGGCAGTACCCCAGGGCAGCCCTAGCCTGGTCCTGTCCTGTTGGCTCCGCAGATCGGTGCCGTATTGAACCACCGGCTCTGGCTGTCAGGGCTTTGGAATACCGGCTCCACCCCGGTCCCTGGGATCTTAAACTGCTGCTGTGCAGGGCCGAGCGCCCAGGGCTGCATCCTGCCCCGTGCTGGGCAACCAGGGTCCCACGACGAGGCGTTTGTGTCCAGGTAGGAACTACCAGCACAGAGACACCCCAAAGCCTGCTCCCAGCCTCTCCCACCCAAGGAGTATGCCTGGGAGAGGGCCAGGAGACTGGGGAAGCAGCCAGCAGCTACCCCCAGCCCCTACCATGCCCCTGGGGTATGCCACGCCCAACCGCCATGCAGTGGGGGCCAGTGTGCCCAGAGGACTAGTGTGGCACTCCTCCAATGCCCGTTTGGAAATGGAGTGTGACTCTAAGGGCAGTAGGGCTGGCCTTGCCCCCTAATTCCCTCCTACAGCAAGGAGTTCCACAGTTCCCTTAGGGGCCTGCTGCCAGAAGCTCCTGCCTTAATTCCCCAGAGGAACTGCAACCAGTTCCTAGGGCTGGCGCAGGACCCAACCTGTTTCCGGGAAGAAGTGGGGCAGGACTCCCCCCCGGGGGCTGGGCCTGGCCAGGAGAGCTGGGCCGGGAGGAAGCGCCGGGGATGGGAGAAGAGGGGCGCTCTCGGGCGCAGGGACGGGTTGTTTGCTCACCGACACCTGCCGCTCCGGGGGAGGATTATTCTCAGGAACCACCGTTTCCACGCAGGTGATTTTCTCAATGTCCACAGACCCCTTCTTGCTGCCCCGTCGCTGCGAAAGAGAACGGGGGAAAAAAATTGGGGGGGGGGGGAATTCAGTGCAGACACCGCCCCGGGACTCCTGCCCCCAGCTCCCACTGATTTCAGTATCGGAGGGCTGGGTTTGGCACACAGCTGAATGTTCCTCTCCAGCCGTTCCTGGGGCATGACAGGGTGCTGGCAGGTTCCCCTGCAGAGCCTGGCACGAGCTGGCGGCCTCCTGCAACACCGCTCTAGGCATAAATGCCCAGCAGGGTACATGCTCTTTTCCCCTGGGGAGCAGGGAAGGCAGCTGCCCGCTCCTAGACCTCTGTGGCAGCCCCGGGGCATCAGAGAAAGATGTGAGTGCAAAGTCTGATGTGTCTCAGCATGCGGCTCCACGCGTCCCCAGAGTTCAGGAGGCAGCAGGGGAGAGGGGCAGGGGTGGTTTTCCCTTATACAGAGAGAAAGGGGCCAGCCAGTGAGCATGGGGTCTGATCTGCAGCCAAGCTAGCTGCTGGGTTAATCGCTAGGCACCAGCCTGGACTGGTCCCCCAGTCACTATCTCTGCCTGCACGGGATGTACCGACACAGTCAGAGAGTGACAAGGTCAAACTGCCCTTCCTCCCCACCTCTATCCCTCCCAGCACCTGCTGCCCTGC